AGAATCTCAGTCTGGCGGCCTGCCAAGTAGGATGCGCGATACTTTGGTAAGGGTGAATAGTAACTCGTCTCCTTACTGCCCAGTAATAGTCGCCTTCTCCGAATGCCTGTCTTGTATCGTGTTTCGAATGCGAATTGGAGCTCTAGAGAGTGCTACTGGTACGCACTTCACCTCTTCCTTTGGCAGTTATTCCTTTTTGAATCACTATGACTTCGCCGGTTTACTCCTCGGAGTTGCTTATATTGACAGAAGAGTCTGTTTGGCAAATGTACTACTTGGCAATCTTCGCAGTTAGTCGTCGTGCGCCGCGAGGAACCTACCTCGTTCTATGGGCTTCAGGTGTTCCAGCCGCGGGTTTTCACAAAAAAGGCAAAGGAGACTATGTAATTTGTCAGCTGACTTTTCCAATTGACCCAATGGTAAAAAGACTCGGTGGGATTCGAATACACGACCGCAGTCGGGAAGGCTTTAATACAACCAGTCCTCTCCCCCTAAACTCCGCTATTAACTAGTTGCGCCTGATAGTTATCTACTAGATTCTGGATGAATTGCTTAGATAATCCTGCTTGCGCAATCAACCTACCATATCAAAATTAGTGGATTCTATAGGTCGCAGTAGGCTGGGCGGGCAAATCGGCCCGGTGGGGTCTGGTAGCTAAGTTGTTTAGTGCGTTGGTTGTAATGAAGTCTTCCCTTTTCTGTATCGGCCTCCGATTTTTTCACAATTTGGTCAATTGATTCATTCAAATCTGCCAAACCCCTATTAATGGTTTGATTTTCATATGTCTAGTCCATGTGCTCACGTGTTTATTTATCCGCCCTCGTGATTCGCAGAAATTTCACTACTTGCATCTATGACGTATAAGGGGGTATTTCATTCTGTGTTGTGTCGGAACTTCAACGGGCAGACCTGCCTAGAGGCCTATTGATTTGAATAGCACTTGTTCTGTTTCTGCACTTAAATGAATGTGCGGAGGACTATTCTCTGAAGCCTCGTGCTTGTTCGATGTATGTTATTTATTATAGAAAATGTACATCGTCTGCGATATCGCCCTCGGTCTATTACTGACTCGTTGCACGAATATGGTGTGGAAGAGCAGTCAGTTTGAAATCAAACTGCCTAGAACGC